TAGCAGAAAGTGTATCCCGCCTCCCGTGAGGAAGACAGGAGTTCCCAGAATCCTCAGGAGAAGGCCATGCCCAAATAGAGGCCTCATTGGCTATGACCTGATTGACAGGCTAGACTCCACCCCATCATTCAAGTTAACAGGAGATTATGTAACTGCCACAGTGGTCATGTCTGACCTCCTTTGGCTTCATTATGGAGAAGGGAGAATCCAACTTCCTATCTGCCTAAGGACGATTCCTATGAGGCAGGGGTCAGGCATGCCTTCCACTTCTCTCCTGAGTTCAACAATCTGCAGTGGCCACATAGAACTCACAGGCAATATTCACGGTGATGGGCAGATATTAGGGGAGTTAACGCGTCACAACAAGTCAAGATCCGAAAATATTAAGGATACAATCCATTTTTCCGAAGCACCTCTTCCCAGTCAGGACAACAGTCATCGCTGGTCCTCATGTTCTCAACTACATGATGCCATGGCCTCTACCCTGCCCAGTTAAGTGTTGCAAAGCTCCTTTCGTGCTGATAAATGCTCAAAGGGCACCCCACTGTGTAAACCAGTCTCCCAGGAAGGCGCTCAACTTTACTAATTCTGTAGCCACCCTGGTCCTAACTGCTGCTCCACCTCATGGTCTCAGTGCTGCTGCCTCTGGGTCTGCTGCTGCTGCCTCTGCCACTTCACACAGGAATTTCACAGGTGCTCTGTTGATGGTTTTTCTTTCTTGATGGTCATCAGATTCTCTGTTCCTGCTTCTGGGTTGGTTTGCTTTTTACCCAGCAGAATGGCAAACTGACCAATCCCCTCGTTAGTGTCCTCTACACCTTATTTGCATGCTCCCACCCTATCATCTGGTGGGTAGAAATCCCAAACCAGGTCATTTTAATGTACCAAACATACACACACACACACACACGGGAATGAGAGGAGAGAACAAGTAATAGATGAACAGAGGCCCTAAAATTTTAGCCCCTAAAATGTTGGGGCTGCCAAGGCTACTTATGTACAACCAAATGTCTCAGGGGATTTGATTCCTTGGTTTGAAGGTTTAGGGTCATAACCTCATGAAATGTCCCAGTTAATTGAAACTAATAGGACACTTAGTGTTTCTGTTCTACCTCCTACTTTGCTGCATAATACATGGACTCTTTAAAAGCTTGAAACTCTCCAAGGCACAACAATTGGTTTCTATTCATCTTGAGCAACAGGAAGAAAGGAAAATAAGAGGATATGAAATGTGCGCCCAATTGCCTCCAGGAAAATCTGCCTCCATTGCCTTGAGACCAGAAAAACTGGAGAGTGCCCAGCTATAGTTACTGAACATTTCATCAAAGATTCCATATAGAAAACCTGATGGAGAAGGGAGAGATTCAAAGCAGTCTCCAGGCTTTCGGGAGCTATGGAGGATGGATGAACTCCGGAAACAGTTGCCATGAGATACACTTTAAACTTTACACCAAGTATTTCCCCTGGAATCTTTTTAAAACTGAACAATAACTTTAAGTTAAAAAAAAAGTCTACCTTGAGCTCTTTTTAAAAATGTATAGGATGCAATTGACAACTACAACTCAAAAGGCGGGGAGGGAGGGAGAAAACGAGGCGCTGATGCCAGGGGCTTAAGTGGAGAGCAAATGTTTTGAGAATGATGAGGGCATTGAATGTACAAATGTGCTTTACACAATTGATGTATGTATGGATTGTGATAAGAGTTGTATGAGCCCCTAATAAAATGATTTAAAAGAAAGTTTTAGGGGACAGTGAGTTTATGTTAATGAGAGAGGAACAACTCAGAAAAGAAGGGCGCAACTCAAAAAATGTAATCGATATCACTAAGTTGTACATGTAGAAACAGTTGAATTAGTATTTCTTTTGCCAATGTGTATTCTCAACAATAAAATTTACAGGAAACAACCCCACAACCAGACGTTGTGCTGCCTGGCTGGCAGAGGCAAACAAACTAGGGTAGTGTTCAGGGTAAATGGGTTTTGAAGGACCTGCTCATCTGGGTCCTGATGCCACACTAGGGATCAGAGACGGGTGCCTATTGGGCTCCTGCTGGAGGATGAGTTACTATTACAGTGCCTCCTAGGTGTAGCTCGAATGGTCCATCGACTCATGGGATGTTACTGGAAAGGGAGGAGGATGGGGTAGAAAAAAGGAAATTGCTGTAGGGGTTGCTCCATAGGCTGGTTGCTTTTGCTGAAAGGCCATTCTCCTGTGCTAACGACTGGGCAGTCTACAGGCCACCCAGAGGCCTGACTTGGTTCTGCAGTTGTCTGGAGTGTCCAGGACTCAGAAATGTTATTATCTGGGGCAAAGGGCATTTTCTTGTTTTCTCGGTAATTTTTCTCCTTAAAAAAAAAAACCTATTTGGCTCTTCCTTCATGTTTTTCTCCCTATTCAAGGGAGAAAGGAGAATCGGGTGATTTCAACATCTGTATGTCTTTATTTTAAAATCTTTTCCATCTTGATGCAAACTCCCCAGTTTGGATTACTCCCACACCCCACCCCACCCCTGTCTCATTTCCAGGATAAAACATATTACTTGTTGAAAAGTGATCTGCTCTTGGGTAAGCATTGGACTACTAACTACAAGGTTGGTGATTCAAGCCCACCAGCTGCTCCATGGGGAAAGGTGAGGCTTTCTAAAGTTCCAGTAAAAGACTTACAGCCTCAGAAACCCTGTATAGGGTTGTTATGGGCTGGAGTCGACTCGATGGGGTGGGTTTGGTTTTTGGTTTGGTATATCACTATTAAAATTGACATGAAACTTTGTTCCCATGGTTTTATTTCCTTTGAACCAAAGAAACCACACTGGGAGGTAGAGAATGACCTATAAATGTGGAATGTAAATAGCTTTGGTTATTTAATGGAAAGAGAAGTTAGATTTAAATGAAGGTGCTTCTAGTAGAACCATGTTTGGGCCAATCTTTCACTGTGGGAAGCAGAGAACGGGAAGAGAGTGTGTATGGATGAATCCTTTATTCTCATATATTAAGAAGCCTGGCAAGCTGGGTTTCTGGAGTGGAGAGAGGCCTTCACCCTTGTGAGGTTGGAGGCGAGACCTATTCACATTCTCATAATTAATATTGTTCCCCACTATATCCTCCCATATTAGTGCTGCCTTAAAACTACCTCTTACAAGCACATGGCTGACTGCTATCTAGCCCGCAGCTTTGACTAGAGGAGCAGACAGGTTCTGTTGCTCTCCAGCTCTGAGGACAGCCACGCTCCCTTACCTGCCCTGGGCAATGGTGTTCAGTTCCTCCTCCAATGTACTCAGGGACCTTTAAGGTTAGGGGACAGCCCCCTTTTGTATGTGGTTACCTGTAATTAGGGGGCTTACATCCCCCACCCCCTGAGTGTATATATAAGCCTTGGTTGGAAATATATTCTCTCTCTGCATGTATCTGGCTCCTAAAGTCATGGCGTTCCCAGAGGTGAGCACTTGCATGCCTTATCTTGTCTGGCGTCTCTTTAATTTTACCCCTCAATTCTACAACCGGCTCTTGGACCCATTTGACTGTGGGGGCTGGTACCCCACATTTTATGAGACACAGAAAACATGCTTGTAAACCAAGATTTTCATAACTTTGGCTTGCTTGACAAGAGTACCTCCCTTCTCGGGTTGGTGCCCCACCTGAAAGGCGTTAGCCGAAGTAGCAGGTAAGACACAATCAATAGGAGTCCCCATGCAAGTAAAATAAATTTCATTAGAAATCTTTGCTTTTGATAAAACAGCCCCAATAGAAGCCAATATTTACATACAAACATTTGAAGTATCAGTCTGTCCTACTTTGTGTTTTTTTAAATCTTGTTTAAGAGTGAAAGGATTTGATTTTATATTTATCACCCTAGATTTTTTCCTCTCTCCTGTGCTGTTCGGTGGGAGTAAGGTCATTAACAACCTGTAACATGCAGACGACACAGCCTTGCTTGCTGAAGCAAGGAGGGCTTGAAGCAAGCACTGATGAAAATCAAAGACTGTACTCCTCAGTGTGGATTTCACATCCACATGGTGCAGCCCCTGGCTTTTCTATGCCAGCGAGGCTAACTGAGAGTCCAAACGTTATATCATAGCCAGCTCAGAACAAGGGTGACTGCAAATACATGAACAGGCAGCACAACGCGGTACACGAGATTACATTGGGTTGCCAACCCACACTGTCAGCAGTTCGAAACCACCAG